ATATATATATGTATATTGCTCGGAGAACAGAAAGAGGAGCTACGGCGCGCTTTGAGAGACGATACTAAAAGGAAAGAGAGAAAAAAAAACTTTTTGGTATGTGCGTATATATATATATATATATAAATAAATATCTGCACGGTTCAGCGCTGTGCTGACGGGCGATCCTTACATCAGAAAAAAAAGAAATATGACATAAAAGCGGTGGGCACTGGTATCTGCCGCGCTGGGAGGAAGGAGGTTTCTTCGTGTGAAGCGCCAAATGAAAGTGAGAGGAAGATAGAACCAACAGAGAAAACACGACGGCGAAGGTAAAACTGCGGTAATGAAACTCGCACAAATGGCACAACTCTACAGACAGTTCTACGAATGAAACACTTCTCATAGAACTCGAAAAATAATAATACCGCCGCGTGTTCAGCGCGAATATCGAGAAACACAAATGAAAACAGAGGTGCAAGAAAACCAAAAAGATTACAATGGTAAGAAGAAAAGACCTAAGAACTCAGCCACCGAAGCCTGCACCGTCGTTTGGGTATCGTCTGCGACGTGGACTCAGCTGTTTTCACTTTTCTCTTTTCCTTTCCTTTTTTTCTCCCTGCAGAACAACTTGATCAACCTTAAAAAAAAAAGAAGACACCTCGCTTGGTTTCCTCGTACGAAGTCCGTGAAGCGCACGCGCGCGACAATGCTGATGAGCAAGGAGCGTTGTCGAGGAGAGAAAACTTGCAAATCGGCGAAGGGGAGAGAAAGGCTTGCACGTCAGGGAAGCTGCGTAGTGTGGCGCGCCTTTCGCTGTAAGGCCGCAACAGCACCTCGCAAAGCAGAGGGAAAGAGGAGGGGAGGGGGGGGGGGAGAAAGACAGCAGTATGGTAATGAAAGGAAGAACCGCCGCAAAAAAAGATGTGAAGAGGACAAAGAAGATCCGCAGTTGTGAGAAGACGTGGCGCGGTCTAGTCCAAGACGTAAACGTACACGGCGCTATTTTATTCTCAACACGAACAGCTCAACTCGCTTGAAACGATACAAATTAATAATAAAAAGAGTCAACACCAATAACTCTAACGTACTTCACAGGGCGTGGGAGATAAGGTAGATTGGGGGGAGAAGGGGGGAAGAAAGCAGAAGAGAAAGGAGGCGGAGTAAAGTTGTGCCGATGAATGGGGGGTTTTTTTTTTGGGAGTACTGACACTGTAGAGCATGAACGTGAAAGGCTGACCATATAGGGGGTGCGATGTCAACATCGCCACACTGAATTAGACAGCGAGCAGCTTATCCGATAGTCATCGAACTATTGAGCTGTAGTTGCATCTTCTGTTGTTGTTGATTCGATGTCTTCTTTGTAATTAATCACGATTGCCCATGAACTATGCCGCATCACCGCGAGGGCGGCTGGTTGGTGGACGCGTGCCAGGCGCAAAAGACGCGGGCAGAACCACCGCCGCCCCCGCACCACCGCCCACCCACCCCAGCATCCCCGCATCACACAGCATACCCTGCGAGGGGAAGCTCCTCACTGTCGTCTTGGCCACCGTCTCGCCCTTCACCTCTGCCCCCACGCAGGCCACCACGACGTGGTCGCCCGGCTTCACGTTGGTGGCAGCGGTTACCACCGGAATAGGTTCCCCCTCGCCGACGTCCACCTTCAGCCGCTTCAGCTTCGTGTTGGGCGCCTCCTCGCACTCCATCACGACCCCGACGCGAATGCGCCTGTACGCGTCGTCGTCGTCGTCGTCCGCTGCCGCAGAAGCGGCGCCGACCGGGCGCTCCGCCTCACACGCGGCACACGCCGTGTCCTCCTCTTCGTTTTCGTACTCGCACTCGGGGCAGACCCACGATGGCATTTGGGGCTCTGTTTAGTTGTGTGTCGGTGTGTGGGCTGCGGTGGACAAGGAAGATACTCCTGTTTGGCACAGCAGTAATACGTGTTTGTTGTTGATGATGATGTTTGCGGGTTGGCAACGGAGTTGTTCAGAACCGTAAAGCAGCACACAAAACAAAAAGAAATTGGGAGTGGGGGGAAGGGTTGATGTTAACGCAGGGGGGAGCGGGACAAAGAGAGTTTTTTTTCTTCTTTAGAACCCCGCAAGCGACAGCTGAAAGCCGGAGAGAAAGCTCCTGCAGCACTTCCTTTAGTGCTTTGGTTTCCTTTTAAGCGGATGAACGACAGTGACGGCAGCGAGGAAGAACGTGTTCATTTTGGCTACGTGGTGAGCCGCTTTGCAAATTAGACGCTTTTCTTTCACTTTCCCACTTGGAGTCTTACAAAAATGTGATGAATAACCCACACTGACGAAGCCATGAGGCAGCGCATATATATAGATGTAGATAGAGAGAGAGAGAGAGAGAGAGAGGATAACTCGCGTCAAACACCAGACTCTTCTCCACAG